GAGGAGGATGGGGTCATCACCTCGAAACGGGCCATGAAGTCCTTCAGGTTGGGGAACGCGTCCAGGCACTTGGGCTCAAATATACGGTGCAGGTCAAGGACATCGTAAGTGAGGAAATCCACAAAGGTGATCTGCAGAAGGCCAACAATGAGTGGGCTGGAAGCTCCAGGACACAGGAAATATGACAATTCTCATTCCCTATCACCGGCCCCTTTACCTTGTCCCCTGCAAACCAGGGCCGTGTCCCCAGGAACTGTGAGAAGTGCTTCATTTTTTCAGGAATTTCCTCCAAGTACTGGGGCTTCAGTTTCTCCTGAGACAGAGAATAGCTGTCATCACCCTCAGACACCAGCGCCCCGGGGAACAGAGGCAGGCCTCCCCAGGGCTGTGCATGACCCCCTGGCCACAGGTGAGCAGCCATCTTCCCCACAACTGGAACTGGGTCAGTGCCCAGCCCTCCATTAATACATCAGCATTGATTAGGCTCCTACTGACTACCACACCATATCTGACATCATGGGAAGGCAGAGAGGATTAAGATTGTCCCTGAATCTGTCACCACTGATCCCAAAACAAGTCTCCTGTGGGTCAGACCCAGGAGCACCCTGAGCACCCGGCAGGCTCTGCACTGAGACGGCAGGCAGAACGACAACAGTACAGAATGAAAAGAGCTCAGGGAAATAAGTCAAAAGTTCTACCTACTGGGATGGCAGAGGAATGCAATGGATGTTTCAGTAGTTTTTGAAAGTTTGGGAGAGTTTCATCTTGAAAAGGAGGGAGAGGCATAGGGCTCTCTGGTGACCCTGAGCTTCCCATTAAGAAAACACCCTGATCCCTGTTGGTGTCAAGGAGAAGCACGAGAAAAATAGTAGCCCAGAAGTCCACAAATGAAGGTGCTATTTCATTTCCCCATCTTGTACTTGTTTTTCTCCTAACTTTGTGTGTACTGCACGAGTAGGCAGATGGGGTGAACCACCTAGGAGAGATGGCTCACAGCTGAGGACAGAGGGCTAAGGTATGGAGAATTCTGAACACATGACTTTATTGCCTAGGAAATGAATTTCAACCTTGGGTATCTGAACTTCCTAAGACTAGCAGGGACTGATTTAGGATTTTCATTTGATACAGTTTATTGTTAAGAGGGTCACTCTGGTACAGTTTAAGGAACCCCCTGGAGTATCAGTAGCCATTAAAACTTTAACTCATTCAGCCTGAGCAAGAGCAAGACCCCGCCTCTACTAAAACTAGAAAGAAATTAATCGGCCAACTAAAAATATATAGAAAAAATTAGCCGGGCATGGTGGCGCATGCCTGTAGTCCCAGCTACTC